TAACGAAGTCCATCACACGAAAATAAACTATTTCAATCTTTTATTAATGATCTCTAACACCTCTTCTTGGAGTATATCACGATTTAGATCATATATAATAATTTCTAATATAATTTAGGTATTGATCATCTATAAGAAAAAAAAATACACTTCTATTTAATTAATTATGTTCTCAAGTCTCAACATACCCTAATTCACGTGAGGCTTATATTATTTCGTGGGTCAAGTCATCAAACACATAAAAAAATTCATTTTGATAATCGATAATGATATGATTCAATTTCAGAACCTCTGTCTATTCTATGATCATATCTGCAAAATAACCTATCTTCTATATATCACTTCAATCTACAACATCTTCCAGCCGGTGCAAGAGGATGGTTCGACATGGATAAATGTCAACTCCGATAAGGCAAATTTCTTTGTGAGTTTTTTTTTTAATTAAATTAATAATTAATTAATGCTTAATATTAAAACATAAAAATAAATAAATTAAATTAATATTTGATATGCGTCATTACAAGAGAGTGACAGCGCTGGACTGCTATCAATGTTAAGGGACACATTAAAACTAGTACAATTTCCGTCGGTTTAGTAAGCCGAACTAAAAAAGTTTCAGCCTTATCTGATTGTATTTCATTTTAGACAAACATTGGTAGAACTTCCCAAGAAAGGTTGAAATTGTGAATAGGTTTGAAGTAGGGGTGAGCATATATAGTTTGGGTAATCTTGAATCGAAATTCAAAATTTGTTGAATTTTTGGTTTGTGGATTAAAATTTGGAATATTAATAGCTCAGTTAATTGGCTATCTGAATTTTCACCTTATTGATGAGGGTTTGATTCTGCTTATTGTAATTCCCTCTTCAAAGTAGAAAAAGCGGAAACTTATTTTGCTAGGCATATTAAGCCAACTTTTTTTTTTAAAGCCAACTAGTACTAGTAAATATTGTAATCAACCCAACCCCCCTCTCTAGATACAAATCGCAGCCATGCTCTACCATTGCTTTGTAATCACGCATATTAATATATAATTTACTACCTCTGTTTTGTACCCAAAAATAAATAAATTCCCCTCTTCATTTCCCCTTTCTCTACCCCAATTTTACTTTTTTGTTTTTTTGTTTTGTTTTTAAAAAAGATTTAAGTTCTAGATTTTTTGGATTTTAGATTTTACTTTTTTGTTTTTAAAAAAGATTTAAGTTCTAAATTTTTTGGATTTTAGATTTTACTTTTTTGTTTTAAAAAAAAGATTTAAGTTCTAATTTTTTTGAATTTTAGATTTGGTACTTCAAATTTTTGGATATTTCGAAAATATTATATCTTATATGTAATCCTACCATTAGACATTAATCCATTACACATATCTCCAATATTAATAAGTAGTATAGGCGTATGTCGCATATCATCGGAGAATCCTTGAACCCGCCCGTTCCGCCGGATACATATCATTCAAGGACATACTCATACCACCCTACTCAAATATCGAAGAGAGCCAATCCTCACCACCAGTGTTTTAAAAGGTGGGGGAGTGAGGCGCGAGGCGTTTTATATAGTACAGGGCGAGACGTAAACCCCGAGACATGGGGCATAAGTTTCATAGATCTACGGAGCGTAATCTCATGTATATTTAATTTTGTAGTTTTATTACTAATTAAATAAGCAAAAGTAAATATTTCAATAATTTATGATTTTTATTTGAGATAAGTATTTTTTTTAATTTTTTTTTTAGCAAATTTATACCACTAGACAGTGGTCTAGTGGCTTTTTATTAATAATAAACATAAAATATTCTCAATAGGATTAAGTACAAGCAAGGGAGGCTAGGTCTTACCTTACCAATCCTAATGAGTTACCTATCCTCTACTAATTAACAATCATGAAGAAAATACGAGCTAGAGAGAACTAGATATTCTATGATCATCATAAAGTTTATAATACACTCTATGATGATATTACAAGTGGGAATTCTTAAGTAATAAAAAATCATAAAAGCCAAGGAGAAAGTTGAGTTATCAACCTCAAACATTCTTTTACAAATGTATGAACTAAAAAAGATAGATTAGCCTTCTAAAGAAACTTGAAGTATGTTTCTCTTGTCTTCTTCTTCAAATCTGTCCAATAACACTTGGTAGTTCATCACTTCTTTGCTTTATTGGGTCTTGTTAAAGTTGTTGACACTATCATATGATTCTGTTTCGCCAGTCGCATCGGTAGGTGCCTTAGAACAAACTCCTCAATCACTTTACCATCCCAACTATGCTTTCTTCCATGCTTCGTTTTGTTGTTGCGTTGATGCCTAGGAAAAATATCAGCATTCCTAACTGCAATTGCAAAACAATAATCCAACATTTCCTCTTCCTCTTCCTTACCTTCCTCATAGATATCCTCATCATCTAGATTAACAAATTTATTTGGGGACAAAGTACTACTACAACCAAATTACTAATATTTGAGATACGTATTAATAATGAATAACGAAGAAAAAAAGTATTATAATTACTATTTGAGAAATATCATTACACTAATAATAAAAATATGATTTAAAGTAAAAAAAGTTTTAAAAAATAAATTAAAAATGCCCAGCCCTACGTTTTTATGCTTGGGGCTTACGCCTCAAATTTTAGGACTTACGTCTTATGGATCTAAGTCTTTAATTTACGCCCCAGAGCGTTTTTGGTACGCCCCGCCCTGAGACTTACCCTGGGACTAGCCCCAAAAACGTTTTTGAAAACAATGCTCACCACAAACAAATCGGGTGATGGACATGATTATCGAAGACTACAACGACAACGTAGGATCAGGCTCCAAGTCAAATAAACAAGAGGAAGACAAATTCGAAAAGGAGGAGGGGATCCAACTCACAGAAGAGGAAAAACAAATAATCTATAAGCCATGAATTTGCTCCATTATAATTAAAATTATTGGGAAAAAAATCAGCCACATGTACCTAAAGAAAAAATTAAGTAGCATATGGAGAGTCTCAGAAGAAATAGTACTTATTGAGCGACAATTATATTGCCAAATTCTACAAATTAAAGAGGAGAATCTACATAAAACTCTACAACATGGACCATGGTTCGTCAACGGGTACTTCCTATCAATCAAGAGATGGCTAAACATAACTATGTTCAAAGACGAGGCCACCCAGAGGCGAAAAGCAACCAGATAGCTCTGAAAAACTTGAGCAGCAACCAGATGGCTCCAAAATCAGGTATCAATGTCAATTTTTTTCACGTCGATCCAGGTAATTTCCTTGAAACAAAAACTTTAAAGTATAGAAAAACTTCAAAAGCTAGTACTTCCTCAACACAAGAAAACAACCAAGTCTTGGAAAACTATTCTGATCAACAGATACAGAGTGCTACGGCTACAAACCGTCAAACGTCAAGCCACATTAATGATGATGTCACATCCAAGGGTGTCATTAGTAACACAAACAAATTTTTTAAAAAAAGATTTAAAAATAATTTCTCTATTTTTTCAAACGAAGATGCAGAGTCGACTACTTTTCATTCGGCCCCTACTACGACCCCTACCCAACCTACCCCTCTCCAACCCTTGGAAGTATCTTCTCCAGCCACATTAGTATCCCCAATCCTGTCCACATCCTCAAAAAAATCTTTTAGGCCCCACGTCTTTGAATAAAGACCTCAATTCTCCATTTAATGACTCGCTGGCCCTATTAAACAACACTCATAATGAAAATTACGTAGATTTTCTCGTAAAACAAATTCCTTTAAACAAAAATCTCCTTCCAACTACATCTCCAAATTCTAAATTAGGAAGTTCCTTTATTTCCAAAAATATCCTCAACAATCTACTTTAAATATTCCTAGTACTGATACTTACCTCCAAAGTGGAAACCTCTCAAATAGTAACATCCATATTCCTATTAACTCCATCTATATCGACTTAATAGAGCCCCTAAAAAAGACAAGAATTCCCATTTCTTCCCAGAAGAACAAACCATAGGAGAACCAGAAACTCCCAAGCCAATGTCCACAACAAGAACTCTCCAAGACCTTTTGTAACTCTTCCCACCCTACCAATAACCCTGGGAGATCAGACGTTCTATACGACTCACTCCCCAAACCCAAACCAGACTTGACACTCATGGCTGGAGATGAGCATGCAGGGGCAAGCTCTCTCCTTAGAGGGCAGTAATAATCCTAGTACAGAACCCAACATTCTTAGCCCAAGTGGTTTCAGAGGGCATGAGGCTAGCAATGGAGATGTACAACAACCACATATGGTTGTCAACTGCTATCCACCCTCTACTAAGCTTTCCATTCCCTCAGATTCCCTTCTATCACCACTCTTCTTGGGAAATGTCACTCTTCAACCCACTCAATGTTTCACAAACTGTGGTCCCTTTCATCTTTCCACCCTTCTTCTCCCCTCATCAAATTTTGGAGATCCCGAAATCACTAGTGAACCCATGGAATTTCTAGGAGACAGAACAGACTTACCCCATGGACAACGACAATGTGGGAGAGCTCTCCCTAAGTGGTCTCGGACATCAGGACTTCCTCTACCCAAGTATGACCTCATCTCAGTATCCTCCCTCTCCTTTCAGTAACAACACCCAGAGGAGAAAGTGTGGACGTACAAGAAATAGAAGATACGATCGCCCTAATGAGAGAGACAGGAACGGAAATAAGAGTCTTAAAAGATATAAAAATAATATATTCAGGGAGATTAAAAATAATACATACTTATCTATCCACCCTTTTTGTTAAAAAGCTCAATAGATATACGTGCTCCAATCAACCCAAGCGTAGGAAACTTTACAGTAATATTAAATCCATACTTAATGAACAGGAACCCTCCGTTAGACAGAGAGAGGGTGATTCAAGAGAATTCCATCAACCAAACCAATAGATCGATGAATATTATAATTTGGAATTGTAGGGGATGTAATGGTGAGGACTTTAGGAGGAACTTTAGAGCATTAATAGATTGACATAAACCACCGCTAGTAGCTCTTGTAGAAACCAAAATGCAGGATCACCAACCCTTGTTGGATAGCTTTCCCTCTTTCACTAGAATGATACAAGTACCATATGTGGGGAATTCTGAAGGTCTTGCAATCCTATGGGATGATGCAGTCTTTGAGTTGGATGATATATCCACAATAGAGCAAGAGATACATGCTATGGTGAAGGTACGTTTATCAAATGACTTATGGTTTTTTAGTGTTATTTACGCGAGTTTCTTTTAGAAATTCAAAGAAATTTTTTTGGCAAAACCTCAAAACAATAAAAGATAACTTCAATGGCAATTGGCTGCTAAGAGGCGAATTTAACGAAATTCTAAATACAAATGAAAATAATTGTGGTAGCCCCTTACACAAAGGTCGTACCAAATATTTCTGGGAAACAATAAACCATTGTAAACCGATAAATATGGGGTTCAAAGGTAGTCGTTACACATGGCTAAATAAATGCTTAAAAAATAAATCACAACTCACTTACGAGAGGCTTGATCATTTTTTGGCAAACGATAATTGGGTACATGTGTACTCCAATGCACAAGTACACCATTTGCCACGAACACACTCTGACCATTGCTCACTCCTCCTAGCCATGGTCCCATAGTTAAATCCAAACCGTAAAAAGATCTTTAGATTCGAAACAACGTGGACCAGCCACCCTGATCTTACTAGAGTCATTAATGATTCTTGGTTGGAGCACAATGACATACTGGAGACAATCCCAAAATTTCAAAAAGATGTTATGAAATTAAACCGGACTTCCTTTGTAAACATATTTCATAAAAAAAGAAAGCTGATAAGAAGACTCGAAGGAATCCAGAACTCCCCAAAATACCCCCTTTGCCCTTTCCTTACAAAACTTGAAAATGTCCTCATAAAAGAATATAACTACTTATTACACATCGAGGAGGAGTTTTGGAAATTAAAATCCAAAGTAAATTAGCTAAACGAAAGAGATGCCAATACTAGGTTCTTCCATACAACCACCTTAAACAAAAGAAGACGCAATAAAATCACAGCATCACAAACAGACGAAAGAGAATGGTCTATAATCAAAACAAGATAGAGGAAACCACTTACAACTATTTTAAAGACTTATTCAGCTCTAAAAGATCTTTCTCAAACTTGGCAACTCCAGATTTAGTGAACCCAAATAACCAAGTAGACCTCTCCAAACTAGGGGACACCCCTACAGACGAAGAGATACAAAAAATTGTTCTCTTGTTCCAACCTCATAAAGCTCCAGGCCCCGATGGTCTACACCTCTTGTTTTACCAAAAATACTAGAACATCGTAGGAGAATCTATCACCTCTCTAGGTAGGACTTCCTTTCAACAAGGAAAAATTCCTAGAGAAATCAATAAAATCTATATATGTCTGATTCCAAAAAGAAAAAAACACAACCAAATTAATTTACTTTAGACCCATACGCCTATGTAATACCACTTATAAAATAATCGCCAAGATAATCTCCAAACGACTCAGACCAATAATGGACAAAGTCATTAATCCCTGCCAATCCAGCTTTCTAAAAAATAGACAAGCTTCCGGTAATGCCATAATAATACAAGAAATAATCTCACACTTTAGAAAATGAAAGGGAAGAAAGTCAATCTTATTCTCAAAATAGATCTCGAAAAAGCTTTCGATAAAATAAAATGGTCTTTCATCAGAGATACCTTACATTACTTCAATTTTCCCCGCAATATAGTCAACTTGATAATGTCGTGTATTACAACAAGTGAAGTATCTATCCTCATAAATGGCACAAAAATAGAACAATTTGAATCATCCAAAGGGATTCGACAGGGAGACCCTATATCTCCATATCTATTTATCCTCTGTCTAGAAGTTCTGTCAAGAAAGATAGAGCAGGAAGTTTAGCTCAAACATTGAACCCCCATCAGGATCTCCAAACAGGGCCCCACAATATCCCATCTTTTCTTCGCAGATGATCTAGTTCTAATGAGCAGAGCGGATAAAGGAAATTGCGAAGTAATAAAACAAATAATAAAAGGTTTCTGTGCGGCCTCAGGACAAATGGTAAATACAAGCAAATCTAAATTAATATTCTCAAAGAATTGCCCAAAAGAATTAAACAAAAAGATCTCAATAAAGTTGAAAATAAAAAGCGGGAACCTTTTTGGAAAATATCTGGGCTTTCCTATTACGAACAGAAGCACCCCAAAAAACGATTATCAATTCATCCTAGATAACATGCGGGCAAAGCTCGCAGGATGTAAAACCAAATTTCTAAATATAGCAGGGAGAACAACATTAGCAAAAACATTCCTAAATAACATACCAACACATATAATGCAATATATTACAAAAAAATCGATCAAATCCAACGAAACTTCATATGAGGATCAACATCGAATAAAAGGAAAATCCACATGATTAAATGGGAAGTCGTCACCTCAGAAAAATCGGAAGGAGGACTAGGAATTCAAAAAACAGGAGCTAGAAACCTCGCTCTTCTAGCAAAGTTGGTGTGGAGAGCCTTTAAAAATCCAAACACAATCTGGGCATCAATACTCATTAATAAATATGGAAAAAATGGGATAAATATCCATAGTTATGCCTTCCCCTCGCACAACAGGATTTGGAAAAATCTACTAATAGGATGGGATATATGTAAAAAAGGTATGGAACGGATTCTGGGGAATGGCAAGACCACAGTTCAATAAATGGCTACCAAATGGGAAAACTACGAGGGAACTCGTGCAGTGGCCACTAAGAATAGAAAATTTTAGTGTAAAAGTAGCTGACGTTATCCTAGAAATGGGTATGAGTGAAAATTCCATACCCTTCGAACTACCAAATGAGATAATCCTACTACTAAACAACACCTACATAGCCCATACACCAAATAAAATAGATATAACTACTTGGAAACCTCAGTCGAAGGGTATACTAACTACTTCTTCGGTCTACAAATTCCTAACGAAAAATGTCAGTAACAAACAAAACTTCGTGAGCTTCAAATGGGTTTGGACACAAAAATGTCCCAGCAAAATCAAATTCTTCCTCTGGCTTTGCCAGCACAATAAGCTTCCAACCAGAAACTTCTTAAAATCAATAGGAATTAATGTTAGCAACCTATGTCAATTGTCACCTATGCGGAAAGCCTGAAACAATAAAACACATCTTTATTGAATGTCCTAATGTAAGGCTGCTATGGAAGGAATTAGGGGTAATATACACTTTAAACCAATTCACAAACAACTAGGAATCAGATTGGCTGTCCCTACTAAAAAACCTCAAGGTACCTCTTAACCATTCACTAACTTGGCAAGATGCCTTCCCCTTCAACTTATGGAATGTATGGCTAACAAGGAACGATAACTACCACAATAATAGGGGGAAGAACATTCGAGCCGAAAAAGCTCTCGAACAAGCAGTTGAATTTCTTGCCCTCACAAGCCATAACCGCAAAAGCAAAAAAAAAAGCTTAATAAAGCACCTGAAATGGACAATTCCTCCTATAGGTTTCAAACTCAATAGTGACGGATCCTCTAAAGGCAGCCTAGGACGCAGTGGGACAGGAGGAGTCATTAGGGATATTAAAGGAGATTGGGTCGTATAGCAAATAACATAAAAGCTGAACTAATAGCCTTAATGCAGGGGATGCAACTAGCACTAGCAAGGAAACTGGGATCTCCTCCGGTGGCTGGGGAACCCTCCAATACACCACAACTTTAGGGAAACTAATCAAGTGGCAGATGCTCTAGCAAAGGAAGGCGCTAAACTAACTCAGGACAACTCTTTTTTGTGCATGGAAGTTCCTCCGGTGTTTATTTCAAAAAAGCTAGAAGCAGACAAAGTGGGAACTACTTTTGTTAGGCTCACAAACCCATCTTTTGCAAATATTGTATGTAATAGTATTGAAGAAAAAATGCCCCCTCCCCGAACACCATTAGTAGGTGTTCAGCAATGCCACTTCAGCGTTCTAGTTTAAGGATCAATAATTAATTAATATAAATATCATATTTTCTACCAAAAAAAAAAGTCCACTACCATATATACCCATTAGAGTAGTTAATTAGTCTCCTTGTTTAATTAAGATTTTATTGTCAATTATATATACCCTTAATTTTCCCATATGTACCACACTAACCAACATACATGTAAAAAAAAAAAAACCAATATGCATGTATATTCCAGACATGAATACAATGAGACTAGAGAATTTCCATAATTATCTTGGATCTCAAAGATCATAAACCTTAATGGAGACATATTTTAAAGATCTTATTTTATTTTCTTAGATCCAAAAATGTGCCACACAACTAGCTAAAATGATAATATATGTGGCCTTTCGAGGTAGTAAAGGTGCATTTTATTTTGTACCAAAAGGAATTTTAATATATCAACCAAACTAGGATCAGAAGCTTCAAAAAATACTCTAAAGGTACGGATCATATAATGTGGATTTGATTTCAACAACACGTCTATATGAGGATATATATTCTTAAAAGATTGCACTGTTTTTTTTTTCTTCAAATAAAAAATTAAAAATTTAGTGAGCTTTACAATATTCTTGGAATATTTTAAAAGTGATAGATTTTGTTCTTTTTATTTTCAGCTTGAGTATGTTATGCTACTTTAGAATCCAGATAAGGCATGCAATATGCTCTTATTATCATACAAGTGTAATCAAGCACAATCTAGATATATCATATCATCAACTGGTAATTCTTAGCAATTTTCACCTCTTTTTTGTGTCTTTTAGTTAACATAATGCCTCTATATATAGCGTCACCTTTGGTTCAATTTTCTCAACAACAAATCAAGCCTCAAATTCACTTCAAAAAACCTTTAGCCTTCACAACTTCTTTTCCTCTTATTAAAAGCTATAAACTACTCATTAATTCTTGAAGTTGTTTCAAATGGATATGGTGATGAAGTTGGGAGCAACAAATGCAGTGGTGATTTTCACCAAGAGTAGTTGTTGCATTTCTCACAGCATCGAAACCCTAATTCGTAGTTTTGGAGCAAACCCTACAATTTACGAGCTCGATACACATCCAAATGGGAAGCAAATGGAGAAGGCATTGATTGAATTAGGGTGTCAGCCAAGTGTTCCAGCAATATTTATAGGGAAAGAGTTAGTTGGTGGTGCTAATGAGATAATGAGCCTTAATGTGAGGGGTAAGCTTAAACAATTGCTCATTAGGGCAAATGCCATTTGGGTATAGAAATTACTTAATAATGACTTGGTAGCAAGTCTAGGAGTTTTGACAATAAATCAACCCCATTTGTAGAGTTTCTTTCTAGCTTTTTAGCAAAGGTTTCTATGCAGCAAAGGTTGTGCTTTTCTCCCATTTTTATTTGCTTCTTAATGTGCTATAAAGAGTTATACTTTGGTCATAGCTAGTGACTATTTACAGCTGATGGCATGAAAGAAGTTCATAGCAATGATCATATCTTTATGTATTGAATTTTAATAAAGTATCAATAACATTTTTATTACTTTATAATGGCTACACGTGTTATGTTCTATCATTTTTACAATATTTTCGATATTTAACGAAGTCCATCAAATGAAAATAAACAATTTCAATCTCTTATTAATGATCTCTAACACCACTACTTGAAGTATATCTCGATTCTAGATCATATATAATAATTTCCAATATAATTTAGGTACTGATCTACACTTCTATTTAATTAATTATGTTCTCAAGTCTCAACATACCCTAATTCACGTAAGGCTTATTCTATTTCGTGGGTCAAGCCATCAAGCACATAAAAAAATTCATTTGATAATCGATAATGGTGTGATTCAATTTCAGGACCTTTGCCTGTTCTTATATCATATCTTCAAAATAACCTATACACTTCAATCTACAACATCTTCCAGCGGGTGCAAGAGGCTGGTTCGACATGGATAAATGTCAACTCCGATAAGGCAAATTTCTTTGTGACTTTTTTTAATTATTAATTGTTCGAAAGATGATTAATTAATGCTTAATAGAAGAAAATAAAAAAAATTATATTAATATTTAATATGCGTTATTACAAGAGAGTGACAGTGCTGGATTGCTATCAATGTTAGGGGATACATTAGTACTAGTACTAACAAAAAAAGTTTCAGCCTTATCTACTCTATTTCATTCAAGACAAACATTGGTAGAATTTTCCAAGAAAGGTTGAGATTGTGAATATGTTTGGAGTAGGGGAGAGCATAATTTGGGTAATCCCGAATCGAAATAAAAAATTCGTTGAATTTGTGGTTCGTGGATTGAATTTTGGAATCTTAGTATCTCAATTAGTTAACTATCTGAATTCCACCTTATTGATAGAGGTTCAATTCCACATATTATAATCCCCTCTCCGAAGCAGACAAAGCGAGAACTTTTTTTGATAGCCATATTAAGCCAACTTTTTTTTAAAGCCAACTAGTACTAATAAATATTGTAATCAACCCAATCCCCCTCTCTAGATACAAATCACAACATGCTCTGCCATTGCTTTCTAATGACGCATATTAACATATAATATACTACCTCTTTTTTGTATCAAAAAAAAAAAAAAAAAATTCCCTCCCCATTTGCCTTTTTCTACCCCAATTTTATTTTTTTATTTTTTAAAAAAAAGATTTAAGTTCTATTTTTTTTGGATTTTAGATTTGGTACTTCAAATTTTTGGATATTTCGAAAATATTATATCTTATATGTATTTAATCCTACCATTAGACATTAATCCATTACACATATCTCCAATATTAATAAGTCAAATAACATATATATCCATTAGATTAATTATTGTTTAATTAGGATTTTATTGTCAATTATATATACCCTTAATTTCCCCATATGTATGACAATATTAACCAATGTATGAGACTCGAGCATTTCCATTATTATCTTGGATCTCAAAAATCATAAACCTTAATAGAGACATCTTTTATAGATTTTTATTTTATTTTCTTAGATTCAAAAATGTGCCACACAACTAGCTAAAATGATAATATATGCGGCCTTTCGAGGTAGTAAGGGTGCATTTTATTTTATACCAAAAGGAATTTTAATATATCAACCAAACTATAAGCTTCAAAAAATTCTCTATGGGTACGGATCATATAATGTGGATTTGATTTCAACAACATGTCTATATGAGGATATATATTCTTAATAGATTGCATTTTTTTTCCCCCTCAAATCAAAAATTAAAAGGACTTTAATTTAGTGAGCTTACAATGATATTGGAATATTTTAAAGGTGATAGATTTTGTTCTTTTTATTTTCAGCTCGATTATGTTATGCTACTTTAGAATCCAGATAAGGCATGCAATATGCTCTAATTTTCATACAAGTGTAATCAAGAACAATCTAGATATATCATATCATCAACTTGTAATTCTTAGCAATTTTCACCTTCTTTTTTTTTTGTCTTTTTGTTAACATAGTGCCTCTATATATAGCTTCATCTTTGGTTCAATTTTCTCAACAAATCAAGCATCAAATTCACTTCACAAAACCTTTAGCCTTCACAACTTCAAATTTCCTCTTCACTAAAAGTTATATACATATCTTGGCATTTGTCCAAACTATACACATTTCTTGAACTCATTTAAAACATGGATATGGTGATGAAGTTGGGATCATCAAGCGCAGTGGTAATTTTCACCAAGAGTAGTTGTTGCATTTCTCACAGCATTGAAACCCTAATCCGTAGTTTTGGAGCAAACCCTATAGTTTACGAGCTCGATACACATCCAAATGGGAAGCAAATGGAGAAGGCACTAATGGAACTAGGGTGTGAACCAAGTGTTCCAGCAATATTTATAGGGAAAGAGTTAGTTGGTGGTGCTAATGAGATAATGAGCCTTAATGTGAGGGGAAAGCTCAAACAATTGCTCATTAGGGCTAAAGCAATTTGGGTATAGAAATTAATTAATAATGACTTGGTATAGCAAATATAGGAGTTTTGACAATAAATCAACCCTATTTGTAGAGGTTCTTTTTAGCTTTTTAGCAAAGGTTGTGTTCTCCTCCCATTTTTATTTGCTTCTTAATGTACTAAAAAGAGTTATACTTTGGTCATAGCTAGTGGCTGTTTTACTTGTTTACAGCTGATGGCATGGAAAAAGTTCATAACAATGATCATGTCTTTATGTATTGAATTTTAATAAATTATCAATAATATTTATACTAGTTTATGTGGTTATATACATACGTTATGTGTCATTACTTTTACATTTTGAGATTGAGCAAAGTCCATCATATGATGAAATAAACAATATCAATATCTTATTAGTGATACTTGAAGTCTATCTTGATTCAATATATCATATATAATAATCTCCAAATTATGTAGAGAAGCATTGAAGAACTTGTTAGTGTGTGATCATATCTCAGAGAGAACACACCTTTATTTGCTTGATTATGTTCTTAACATGCACATCAAAATTCTCTTTTGGATAAAGGGTAGTGGTACGATTCGATCTCAGAACTCTTGCCTATTATGATACCATGTTAAAAGTGTATATTGTTGAAGATAGGGGTACCTGAAGATAAGGCACACATTAAACAACGTGGTACAACAGTGTTAATTGTTAAAAAGTTCGAGTCGTACTAGGACTAGGCTACTGTGTCTTGTTAAAGAGTTATACCTGTAGTAGTAATCAAACCTCTACTCTTGTAATTGTATTTGCATTGTAGTATAACTCTAAGTGTAGCTAACCTAGGACTCCACAAACTTTCTGTAACAACTCATATATAAGGAGCATATACTCGACGATTCATTTATCAATACAATCTTTCATTGCTCTCATTCTTTTACTTAAGAATTATGCATATATAACTATCTTATCGAAAAACTTGAGTTATTAAAAAAACACATTTTTATATACTTAATTATGTTCTCAACAGAACTCTCGAAGAAGTGTCAATTTGACTCCAATATTTATCATTTTGCTATACAAAGAAGCAAACCAGCTGATTAACTTCCTTGCAAAGACAACACATCCTCAAAGGACCTCAAAAGAACCTAATATGTAGTAGGCTAGTGCCATTTATGAATTTCAAGATGCCACATAAATTTTGTTTTTATTTAATTATTAATTAATCAAATATATATATATATATATATATATATATATATATATATATATATATATATAGTTGTTCTTAATTAATCTTGAAGATTAATAAATGACCCATTCGAATGCCTTCCTCTTATCCAATCAAAACAACTTGTTTTAATTGGAGTGCATATGGTACATATTGCAAATATTCTTACCTACCTATAAAAGTTTTGAACTTTGAGGTGACATATAAATGAAATCTTCTAGCCATTAATAGGAAGATTTGTTATTTCCCCTTTTTTGCAATGGCAGAGGAATATTGTGTTCCCATTTGCACCAGATAATATTATAGTCGTTACATTATTATATTATCTTAACTCAAAAGTTTTATTGTATGCCTCATACATAATTGATAATAGTTGAGTGAGGCTATCTTTTGTCTCACGAGTATGTGGAATTATGCCTACTCAATAAGATTGGTGGCCGCCTAAACATCAACAGGAATCTTTATTTATTTTTTTGCTCAATTATTTTCTAAAGAAAAGTAAGGCTAAGCTATAGCATATACATCGATTATATAGGTAAAAAACTTAACTAGAGTCTAGAGATTTTAAGTTTGAGCCTCTGAGTAAAAAGAAAATCTTTCTAGAGAATATTTTTCTCTTTAATTGGCCTTGCGTGTCTCAAAATCGAATTACTCGGGAAATTCATTACAGATACTAACATTAGATGGATGAAAAAAAAACATTGGCCCTCAAAATTTTAGAGCCTAAAGTCTTTGCGTTAGTGGCTTGACCACTTTGGCGGCCGTACGTGACTTTTGGGTCCACACACTTTGAGTGTCATTTAATTATGAAATAAAAAAAAGTCTCACATAATTATCGTATATAGTGACCTTAATAAGGTAAAATAGAGTACTATATATGATAATATGTGACCTTTCGATGTAGTAAGGGAGAATTTATTTGAATGAGAATAATAGAACAACTCGTACTACGTACATTCCCCTTCTTTATCGAATGATTTTATTTAATACCAAAGGGAATTAATATTAACCAAGTTTGTCACATAGCAATCAAACTTGATTTTAACAGTATGTCTATGAGGATATATTCTGGAAAAAAAAAATCAGTTTTTTTCTCCAATCAAAAGTAAGATTCTATTGAAAAATATCACTCCAGGCCAGCTGGATATAATATACATTTAATTTTCTTTTTGTAGATACTTTGTTTTCAAGGGGGGCATTCACAAAATATATTTCGTTCTTATCGGAGTTTAAACTAATTAATAGTGAATAATTAAGTGTACAAACTGAAAATGCAACATCTATAATTATTGACACATACAAGTCAACGTTTTATAAATTTAGTTAAGTAAATAAAAATTAATGTGAGTTGATCTCTAATGATTTAAGCTAAAGATGAAGTGGTCGTACAATTCAACATGTTCAAACAAGATTTTTATTTTCTAAAAGAGAAAATTGCCTTAAATATACAAATCGAACCAAGATAGAGATCATAGTGACATTGCAATATAATGTTCTTGTAATATTTTAAAAGTGATAGATTATATTCTTTTCATTTTCAGATTGAGTATGTTATGCTACTTTAAAATCCTGCTAAGGCATACAATTATATGCCCTTATCATACAAGTGTAATCAAAGAACAATCTAGATATATCACATCATCAACTTGTACCAATTTTCACCTTCTTTTTTTTTCTCTTTTACCTAACATAATGCCTCTATATATAGCTTCATGTTAGGTTCAATTTTCTCAACAACAAATCAACCCTCAAATTTCACTTCACAACTTCTTTCCTCTTTACTAAAAGCTATATACATATATCTTGGCATTTGAGCCAAACTACTCATTGTTTCTTGACGAAGTTGTTTCAAAATGGACATGGTGATGACGTTGGGAACATCAAGCGCGGTGGTGATTTTCACAAAGAGTAGTTGTTGCATTTCTCACAGCATTGAAACCTTAATCCGTAGTTTTGGAGCAAACCCTGCCGTTTACGAGCTCGATACACATCCAAATGGGAAGCAAATGGAGAAGGCATTGATGGAACTAGGGTGTCATCCAAGTGTGCCAGCAATATTTATAGGGAAAGAGTTAGTTGGTGGAGCAAATGAGATAATGAGCCTTAATGTGAGGGGAAAACTTAAACAATTGCTTATTAGGGCTAATGCCATTTGGGTGTAAAAATTGATTAATAATGACTAGCTATGTATATAGCAATTAGTCTAAATGTTTTGATGATAAATTTACCACTTAAATAGAGAGTACTCTTTTTGTTTTCTCTCACATTTTGCTTCTTGATGTATAAATAAAAACTACTTATACTTTGGTCATAGCAAGTCTTTTCTTTTTGCAATCTAGTGGCAGGGGTCAAGTCAAACCCTCCACAGGAACCCTTCATGGGTGACAACTTATATTATTTATTTATCTATAAAGAAGTGGCGATTTCGATTTAATTAATTTTGTAAAGACTTAGGAAGAATTTAATAGAGAAATTAGCATCTCTATGTATCGTTATGAAACTTATTGATTTGTTCGAATGACATTCTTTACATACAACAGTTACAACTTGTTCTAACAGGCTAAAGATCACATGAACACACATATTGCAAATATTCTTATATGTACCTACATATTAAAGTTTTGACTTTTGGTGACATATATACATGAATGAAATCTTCTTGCCATCAATAAGAAATTCCTCACTTCCATCTTTTGCATGCAATGGCATGGGGAAACTTTTTTTTCAATTCGGTATCCGGTACTAATTGGGGATGGACTAATTTGAATCTGCGTCGGAAAGTTCCATTTTGAGAGCAAAACATTTTCTACAAAAGACTATTTCATAATTTATATATACTCAAGGCTCAAATTCAAAATCTCTAATTAAGACTGCTTCAGCCGTATAGCTATTTCTTTCACAAATTTGACATAGGTTGGCGTATGCTCTTCCTCTGAAAAAGTTGCCTCTACCTCTCTACGTACCAAACAAACCTTGTATTTTATGCACTTGAAAATACATCGCTTGATTAACATGATTCTTCTTGCTTCTTCTTCTCTCATATCGACTTATCGTACTCTCTCAATATGCACTATTCGAATTTCGTGGGAAAAAATACGTAAAGATAATTACAATTTAATAATAAAAAAATCAGCCGTTCTTCATTTAAATTAACATAAAGACTAAAGTCCTTTTTTCTCGTTTTTTGCTTCAACATAATTTTAGAATTTAAGTCATATATATCTGAAATTGAGGCATATAATATATATGTCCTAACTTCATGCCAAAATATCCGAAGTTGGCCTTGCCAAAGACATAACTACGAAAAATGTCTAAAGTTGGATCTTGCCAAGACATATATTAGAACTTCATTAAAAAAAAACTATATATAACGCCTTTCCAAGACACAACTTTGAAAGTACGCATGCAATTAAAGTTGAACGTTTATTTTTATCTGAAGTATGACCTTGTTACATTTTGATACCTTAAGAGGGAAAGTAGAGTAATACGTTAAATATGTGGCTCTTCGATGTTGTAAGGGATTGAGCATTTTTCATAGATAAGTAATATAATTGTACTAAATTCCCTTTTTTGATATCTAGTTTATACTAAAGGGAATTTTAATCAAATTTGTCTATGGTACAGATCGTATAGTTAATGTGGACTTGATTTCAACAACACGTCTATATATATGTGGATATATATTCTTAAAAGATTTCATTTTTATCTCCCAAATTAAAAGTTATATTCTATTGAAAAAGATTACTCCAGCTGGACATATAGATTTATTTTTCCTTTAGTAGATACATTGTGCTCAAGAGGGCTAGAGGTGTACAAAATTGAACCAAACCGTTAACCGAGTTAAATTGAGAAAAAAAACTTGACTAGTGGTTGGTTTGACTTGGTTTGGTATTGAAAAAAAAAATTCGACTATATTTGATTTGGTTTGGTTCTAACTAAAAAAAACCAACCCGACATTATATATATAATTTTAAAATCTTATTTTATACATAAAAATACTTACTTTGATATAATTTTTAAATATTTCTTATACCTTTTCATAATTTTTATCTTTTAATATATTATTATTTCAAGTTTGAAACTTAGAATTCTAAATGGTTCAATAAATATTATAGTCCACAAATGTTGGTAATTATAATAAAGCTTAAATCAAAATCAAATTAATACTAATGCAAAAAGAAAATCAATTCAACACTAAAAATGACAATAATATTGAATATTTGCTCTATGGTTTTACATTGGTTTATTCAAATACGTAATCTAATTTTAATTTCTTTTAATATTTAGCCATGTAACTAATACTTATTAAACTTATTTTAGCATGATTTAATACTTTTAAATTATGATCATTGTCATTATGACTTGTTAATTTGCAATATTTGTTTTACACGATTTCATTATTATTATTTTTTTGTTGGATATTTTAGTAGCATTACTCATATAATATTTTGTGTTATTTTCTTAAGAACCATCTTAGATATTTGTATTTTGGTAGGACTAAAGAAATATTTGAAGTACAAGTAAATTATATGTTTGTATGAATACTTTACTGGAAAAACCCGAAAAAATCCGAAAAAATCCAAAGTTAAAAAACCCGAGTTTTATCGATTTGGTTTGGTTTATAGATTTAAAAATCCGACACAAATGATTTGGTTTGATATTTGAAAAATCCGAACCAACTTGACCATGTACACCCCTAAAGAGGGCATTCGAAAAATACAATTTGTTCTTATCAGAACTTAACTGAAAATGAAACATTCATATTTCTTGTAACATCGGTCTTGATTCTTCATTATATTATACACTTTTCATGATTGCATATAATTATCGAAACATACAAGTCAACGTTATATAAATTATTGAAGAGTAATAGTACGTAGTATATTAATAAGGAAATTTAGGTCCGCAGTTAAAAAAATAAAGGTGTGCTTTGATCTCTAATGATTTAAGCTAGAAATGAAATGGTCACATACTTTAATACGTTGATACGAGAATGTTGTTTTCGGAAAGAGAAAATTGCATTAAAAACACAAACCAAACCAAGCAAGCGGACGAGAGGGAGTTGCTCGGATGGTAAGCACCCCTCACTTCCAACCCGAAGGTTGCGAGTTCGAGTCACCAAGGGAGCAAAAGAGGTGGGAGCTCCTAGGGAGGGTAAAAAAAAAAAAAAACCAAACAAGCGTAAACTTGAAAAAAAAAAAATTGTGTGAAAAATGAAAATCCAAAAGGACTTTAGTGGCCTTACAATGTTCTTGGAATATTTTAAAGATGTGATAGATTATATTCTTTTTATTTTCAATTTAGTTTTGTTATGTCCTTATCATACAAGTGATCAAGAACAATCTAGATATATCCATATCCACAACAATTTTCACCTTTTATTCTCTATCTCTCTTTTAGTTAACATAATGCCTCTATATATAGCTTCATGTTAGGTTCAATTTTCTCAACAACAAATCAAGTCTCAAATTCACTTCACAAACTTTCATATTTCATTTCTTGTATCCTTCACAATTTCTAATTTCCTCTTCACTAAAACCTAAAAATCTTGGCATTTGGCCAAACTAATCATTTAAATTTCTACTTCAAACATGGATATGGTGATGAAGTTGGGAGCATCAAGCGCGGTGGTGATTTTCACCAAGAGTAGTTGTTGCATTTCTCATACTATTGAAACCTTAATCCGTAGTTTTGGAGCAAACCCTACATTTTACGAGCTCGATACACATCCAAATGGGAAGCAAATGGAGAAGGCATTGATTGAACTAGGATGTCATCCAAGTGTGCCAGCAATATTTATAGGGAAAGAGTTAGTTGGTGGTGCTAATGAGATAATGAGTCTTAATGTGAGGGGTAAGCTTAAGCAATTGCTAATTAGGGCTAATGCCATTTGGGTGTAGGAATTAATAAAAACTATATATATATGTAGCAAGTGTACTAGGTCTAGGAATTTTCATATAGTGAGACTATTATCTTTGATCTTTGTAATTTTCTTCACATTGTGATTAATGATTAATCTTGATGTATAAATAAAGTTATTATACTTTAATAGGTCATACCTAATCTTTTCTTTTGGAAATCTAGGCAATTTTGCTTTATCCACCGTTTATAACATGCATGAAGAGCATGTTTATGTATATCTTGTGGCAATATTATAATACAATTATAACTACATATTGAGTAATTACAATTTTTTAAATGGAGTGAATACATTTTGTGATTGAGTTTAAGTTATGCACATAATAAGTATAAAGATTTTTTGCTATATACTATATATCGAGTCATGACTCAAAATATATTTACATATAAATCTTTTTAAAATATGGAATTTGCGATCTTAAAAATAAGACAAGTTATTTATGTAAAAATTATCTTAATAATAATATGATGATGTAAAAATATCTTCTTTTTTTTCGTAATATATACTTATAGACGTATATACATGCTGTTGAAATCAAGTTCAAATAATTATCCGTACCAAAAGTATAGAAAAAAGTACCACACACAAATTTTGATGCTTCTTCTAGCTAGTTTGGTTGATAAATGACTAACTTAATTGGTTCAAATTCCTTTATTATATTTTAGGAATAAAGTGAATTACTTGATCAAGAAAGGGAATATATTAAGTACTATGCCAATTTTATCATCATAATATATTCTCACCAAAAAAAATCTCCCTTACAAACCCGAAAGGTCACAATTTTTTATTTTTTCTTTACAATTTATCTCCAACATCAACGTATGTTAATTATAATTTTAAACATGTCATAATTATAATTAAATTGTTTTTAAGAATTAATCTATGTACAAAAATATGTTGTTCTTTGAGACAACCTAAAACAATAGATCTAGAGTTGCAATCGACTCTATAGAGGTACTAAGTTTTCTGTATAATAGTAACTTTACTTGCTCAATTATAATTCATGAATGCAGGTACTTGATGACGTTATTAGGAACCCTGAGCTCATAATGGTACACATTTAGGGAGCAAAATGTAGTAGCGGATCTACTGGCTAAAGAAGGAGCCAGAAAGAACCTATATGATATCATTATATATCTCGTGTTTACTTATAATGCAAGAAATAACGCAAGCAGAAAATAGATTTAGAATTTGAATTTTATGGGTTCTTGATTCTAAGGTAATGACCTCATCAAGTGTTAGTAATTGGGCGTTGAATTTATTTTTTATACATATTTAGTAAAATTTTAATGCATACACAGGGTTTGAACAAAAAAGTTACTTCTATATATAAGCCTACTAGGTTGTGTGTGCAAGAACAACATTAGGAATGTGATATGAATTTTATTTTT